TTGCAGCGAGTATCGGATTTAGTGTTGGGGAGGGGCCTAAATAAATTACCTATACTATTTTGGAGGTTCTTTCTTATATATATATATAGTATAATGGGCCCCAAAACCCTATTCTAATTATTCAGGCTTCTACATTACATAAGATTATTTCGGTGTTGATGTACGAACGGTGTAGCCTGTGGTATCATATCGCTTTAGATCTTTGACTTTGTCGGTGTGGCAGCGTGTCCCGGGGCTGAAGTGGGGAGCTGTGCGGCCTAGCATTGGGCTTCAGTGAGGCTTTGGTCGGAGGCCTTCAGACTTGTTTGTTGCTCACAGCCGTACCGCAGTTGTGATCATCTGGCCTCTAGCACCTAGGTGTTGAGAAGCCCTACCGTTCTCTTGACTTGAAACCCTAAACCCCAAACCCTAAACCCTAAACCCTAACCGTTCTCTTGACTTGGTCGTCCATGTAAAGCTTTTGTGTTGCTCTGAAGCACCCCAATACCACGCCGCAGAGGCCAGCAGACCGCAACCTGCTCACTCCCCGACTGTCAACCCTAACGTAGGGGCCTTAATAAGTAGAATAGGGTTTAGGCGGCTCGTTATTATAATTATAGTATAATGAATCCCAAGACTTTATTCTAATTATTAAGTCCCCTATACTTGCGGCTAGAACCTCCGGCGTGCTTGATAAAACTTTTCAAGACGCCTTTGCAAAGTAGACTTGGCCCAGGGTAGCTCAGGACACAAACCGAAGTTCTACAGTAGCAAAAGTATGAACGCCCTTCATGACAGCAAAGCCTGACATCTCCGAACCTGAAATTTTCCCTAAACCCTAAACCCTAAAAAACCCTAAAACACCCTAAGAATCCCTAAACCCCTAGCCCCCTAAACCCCTAAACCCCTAAACCCCTAAACCCTAAACCCCTAAACCCTGGAATCAGGATCTTCTTCGATCCCTCTTTGGGCTGCTCAAAGCCATGCCGGCAGAAAGCCGTCCCTGGAGCATGCAAGATTGAGCTTGTCTACCGTTAGGGTTTAGGGTTTAGGGGTTAGTCCACATGCATTTATGGGTTTATAGTCGGGAATTTGATGGGTGTAGGCAGGGCTCATCTTGGTGATGGTATCTTTGGGGTGTTAAGTTTTTTTGAGGAGGGAGGTATGTCATGGTACTCCAGCGAATCCCAGAAAGTTAGCACATGGGTTTAGGAGGATTCATGCTAGGATCCCTTATACTTTACCTTAAGGGCATGAGGACAATCATGTTCCAACTTTCTGGCTTCTACTATAGCAATAAGAAGTCATGCTTCACATGGTGGTAGGCAGGAGGGACCTCTCGGAATGGACCTAACTCCATGGGTGATTTTGCACAACGACCGTTCGTCGCCAACTTAGTTAGCCACTAGGAGAACTTTAAACTTTTTGGCCTTATATATTTGGTCTGTCCTAAAAACTTTGAACTTTTTGGGCATGGTTGTTGAAGAAGAGAGCCCAAGATGGAGATGTTACGGTTTGCCGCGTAGATGGTTTGGAATCTCGGGGGGTGCGGGGGGAGGGTATCGGGCTTGTTGTTGAAAGTTGAGGGGCTTAGGGTCAACTTGGCTTTGTAGGGTTTAGGGTTTAGGGCCTAGGGCAACTTGGCTCGACCCGGTTTAGGGTTTAGGATTCAGGCCTTAGGGTCAACTTGGCTTGAGAGGGTGGTTATGATGTTGATGTGCCTTTCACCGCTACCCATAGGCCCCATAGTAGTTCCTTTTTGGGGATTACCTTATAGAATTCTATATATGCACCCCCAAAAGGAACTACTTTAGGGCCTATGGGTAAAGCTTTCGGGAACTTTGGCTGACAGAGAGGCCTCAAGGTCAGGATCGTTTAGCGTCGAGCGTGCCAAAGATAGTCCCCACTGAAGTCTACAGAGTCAAACTCCAAGAGGCACTCTAATATTGGGGACTTACTGTAATCATTACCTATGCTATTTTGGGGGGTTCCCTTAGTATAATAAAAGTAGAATATGTACGAAAACCCTATTCTAATTATTAAGGCCCTTGCATTACCCGAAACTATTCCGGATGCCTCTTAAGGGCTGGCGCGCTTTGTTTTCTGTTAAACAGATATCGTTTTCGGTGGATATATCGGAGATAAACAGGCTCCTTTGTGTTTTTTGTGGTTTGTCGATTTGTTTAACGATGTTTACGACGAAACATGGACAAACTGGCTTATTAGTTATTCTACGAACCCTCGGAACCGTTAGGTTTGTTACGGGCTTTGGCTTTTCACTGATTCTGGCACCAGAAATATGCCTCAGCCTGCGCATCTAGCCGTGCTCAAGAACCCTAAACCGCAAGGGATTAAAACCAAATTCCTGACCCAAAGGGTCCTACATACTTTCAGCGCCAGACTTCTGCAGCCCAGCCTCATGGCTTAAACGACCTCAAACCAAGGCTTACTTGAAGCCGCATCCACCCAACACTCCATGAGTCCTAAGCCCAAAACCTGGGTCCCTGGACCTTGCACTACCTCTAGGCTCCATTATAGTTGGTTTTTGCGGTTTATATTTAGGATCTTGTAAGGTAATCCCAAAAAGGAACTACAATGGAGCCTATGCGTACTGACCGAATCGGAGGCGAGAAGTCATTGCGTCAGCTCTTCTCGCAGCCACAGCGGCTGGCGTTGGCGCGGGCCTCGGCAGTCCTCAACCCTGCGGGTTTACCCGCATTTTCAGCCTAACTCGCTCAAGAACCAAGAGGGTCCATATATACACTACTATTACGGAAGTAGGTCCCCAAAACCAATAATACGGATGGTCTTTCGGGACCTAACTCCATAATGGTCGTACATATGGACCCTCTGGGTAACTTTCCTGTGCAGCGTTTATTGTTCCGTTCCATGTTGTTGTGCCGCAACTTGTCGTGCGGAGTGGGGCCGTCATGGTTGGGGCATTCAATGCACAGGCTCGCACAACTTGAGTGGACCCAGCTCATATACTAGAGGAGTCAGAAAGAACTGTTAATGGTATCCTCTTTTTTCGTCCAAACATAGTGACGGTATATCACACCCGAAAAGCATACATTCGAATTATAAGGCCCCGAGCCTACACTATTCCGTTTACTGCGATCTTCGGGCATCGAAGCCATAGCTGACATGTTCTACACCCAATAGCCCCAACAGTTTTCGGTTTAGGGCTTAAGGACATCCCAACCCGAACCTTCAGACGCCAAGGCCAAAAAGGAACAAACACTGAGAAGATCTAAAGCCAAAGGCTCCGTAAGCTCATGTCCGGGTTTAGGGTTTAGAAAACCTAAATTTAGGGTTTAGGGTTTAGAAGACTTAAATTTAGGGTTTAGGGTTTAGAAAACTTAAATCTGCCAATGGAGCCGGCGGTCTTAAGGTTTAAGGTTTAGGGTTTAGGGTTTAGGGGTTTAGGGTTTAGGGTTTAGGGTTTAGGGGTTTAGGGTTTAGGGTTTATTAAGTCTTAAGCCCTCGTGCCTGAGCACTTGTGGCCTTCCATCGAACCATGAGCCCTTATAGGAACCCGTAAAGGATCACTATATCGCTGAAAGGATCCCTTACAATGAACCATTGAAGGATCCCTTCTAGTAGCCCCTATCGGGAAGATTGATAACCCTTAACCCCTAAGCCCTGAACCCCTAAACCCTAAACCCCTTGACCCCTAAACCCCTTAACCCCTAAACCCTGAACCCCTAAACCCCTAAACCCTAAATCCCTAAACCCTAAACCCCTAAACCCTGAACCCCTAAACCCTAAAACATCTCCAGGAGCGCTTCGTGCAGCGGGGTGGTGCTGCTGGTTTGGCTGCGACGGCCGCGGACCTCGGATCAACGAGGGTCGTGAGGGAGTCAGGTTGTAGGGTTTCGGCGGAATTTTTAGGTCTTTCAAAACACTACTACTACTACTACTACTACTACTACTACTACTATGAATAGTATTAAACATAGTAATAAGAACAAATATAACCTTAAAAATAGCTATCTAATACTAGCAATAATTATGATAGACATGGTTCAGTGCGATATTCAGTGCATTCTTGATAGGGCGGCAAATCCGTCATTCGCGGGGTTCTTAGCAAGGGAGTCTTTGTGTGGTTGCAGCCCCCTATTAAGCCCTAAACCCTAAAAGGCCCTGAACCACTGAACTCTAAACCCATCTGTGAAGCCTGTGTCGCCGCTTGTGCATTGTCACGAAACTTCCACGCACTCCGCGAGCAGAACTGGAGGCAAAATGCACCCTTCGACTCCAGTGAGTGTCATTTTTATCGGAGTATGGCTCTCGCAGTAAAATGAAGATGTTGTTGATCAGGAGCAGTTTTAAATTCCAATCAGCTCTCCAAAGTATTAACTTTTGTTTCGTCGCTCGGTCGCTCGGCCATGTAAACCCGAGTTCAACCCTAGGACTTCGAGCAAAAAGCCCAAAGCCGAATCCTCCAGCCAACAGCTCATGTCTTCGGGTTTACTGTCCTAAACCCTACTATCCTATAGTATTATTGTTTAGGGTTTAGGGTTTACTTATGAATGACTAGGATACTTTGTTGTTTTGTTAAAGTTTTTGTTTCTGCGGGGGGAGCGGGGGTATAATGTGCTACATGTGTATCAAGACAACAAGGGGATACTAGTACAAGTTCTGAATTCCTTCTAGGAGACCCTGGAAGTGACGCAAGGTTTCCCATCCGGCCAAGTGCGGCAACAAGCCTTCGACCACGCAGGCCGTTAGGGCGTGAGAAGTGGCACGCTTGTCGTTCAGGTGAGAAGAATCCGGCTTCCAGTCCTGACATGTTCTAGAGCTTCAATAGTGTTGAAAACTCCGTGAATCTCTTCAACCGCAACTAAGTCCTTTAAAGTTTCAATAGTGTTGAAAACTCCGTCCCCTTCAGCCGCAACTACCAGCCTGCAGTGTTTGCAACTTCGCATAAACATGCATCCAAAGTTTTTCGGAATCCCAAGCGACCTGCAGACTCACGTGTAATCCATGTTGTTTCATGTCCTGCCAAACTAATCTGCCCACCCCTAAACCCTAAACCCTAAGCCCTAAACCCTAAGCCCTAAACCCTAAACCCGACCCTGGGCCGCACCTCCCGAAACCCTACTCAACTCTAAGCTCATCTAAACTCACTCGCACCCACAACATCCCAAACACACTCCAGCCTATAACTCCGGGGGGTAAAACCTCAAACCCTAATGCCTAAACCCTAAAACCCCAAACCCTGAACCCTGATACCTAAACCCTAAAACCTAAACCCTAAACCCTAAAACCTATACCCAAAAACTTAAACCCTAATACCTAAACCCTAGACCCTAAGCAAAGTCTATCCACAAACCCGGAGGCGCCCAGGAAGTGTGGAGGAACTCGCCGAGGAGACCGGTGTGGGGCTCCGGTTTTTGGTTTATAGGTTTAGGGTTTAGGGTTTAGGGTTTAGGGCTCCCTGTGTTCGCCGTTTGTTGGCCGTTTAGGGTTTAGGGCTTCCTGTGTTCGCCGTTTGTTGGCCGTTTTGGGTTTAGGGCTCCCTGTGTTCGCTGTTTTTTGGCCGTTGATGGTTTAGGGCTCCCTGTGTTCGCAGTTGTTGTTGGCCGTTTGGGGTTTAGGGCTCCATTTTTGAGTTAGCGCTTTTTAGCCGTTTTCGGCTCCACTTTTTGTTTCAGGAGTGCTTAACGGTTTGGGGGTTTAGGGTCTTGGGATCCATCTTTAAATTTTCAGGGATCCTGTGGGGATTTATAGGGTTCTTCAGTGTTGCTAGGCTTCTGGTCTCGAGGGTCTCGGGTTTAGGGTATGTGTGTAGGCGTTTTGGGCCTGGGGTTTAGGCTTTGGGCTCTCGGCTGTTTAGGGGCTTCTGGGTTTAAGGCTCTAGGGCTGCAGAACTCAATGGCTGCAAGCTTTCGGGATTCTGGCTCGAGGGCTCAGAATTTAGGGTTTAGGAGCTCGGCTTGAATTTAGGGGTTTCCGAAAATAGGGGGTACCTTATTTTGGGGTCCTTATAGAAGGGATCCTAGTATTTGGGGTACTTTATTGGGGTCCCTATTTTTGGGAACCCCCATTTCTGACTCAGCATAGATTGTGAATGTTGGTTCAGTCTTTTTCATTCGGTGGCCAGGGGCTCAGAGTCGATGACGGTTAGGGAGTGAGGAATCAGGGCTCTGGGTTTCTCTTTTGGGGTACAGGGCGGTTAATGGTTTCTAGAGGGCTTAGCTCAGTAGGTGCAAGGATGTTGGATTAAGTAGGTAAGTTTGGGGTCTAGTCTGCGTCTTGATCTTTAGGGTGTAGTTTAGGGCTATAGAGATTGTACACTTAAGGCTGAGTATGACGTTCAGCATTTTTCGAGGTTCAGGTTGCGGCAGGGCTTGTGTCAAAAAGTTACCGTTCATGTACTCTGGACGAATCAATCGTCAGCGGTGACCTAAACCCTAAACCCTAAACCCTAAACCCTAAACCGTAGCATGTAAATATCCTAAACGAGCTCCCGTATTCACTGAGACCCCTAAACCACAAGGCCCCCTGAACTCCTGATCCCCTCAGCCCCTGAGCCCTAAACCCTAAACCCTAAACCCTAAACCCTACACCGCTTAACCCTCAACCCCTAAGCCCCAAACCCTAAACCTCCACGTGTTCACCGAGCCCTGCCCTGAACCCTTGATGCCTTGAACCGGACAGCTTGCAGGTTCATGGGTAGTTATAAGTGGGGTTATAAGTGGGGTAACTATAGTTATAACCCAGTTATAAGTGGGGTAACTATAGGTATAACCCAGTTATAAGTAGGGTAACTATAGTTATAACCCAGTTATAAGTAGGGTAACTATAGTTATAACCCATGTTAAGGGACTTATAACCCCACTTATAACTACCCATGAACCTCCAAGAGGAGGTACTTCGCGAACCCTTCCTAGCGAGAAAGCACGCGATGCGACGGACAGGCCGGCCACCCAAGGGCTATAGGATTTGATGAGTGCCTACATGTGCTTGAGGGTTGTTCCTTCGGAATCTGGGAAGGATTCAGGAATTCCGATGCACAGTGTATGTGCGATTGTAATGATTGCAGGTTTTCTGCTTTTGGGTTCAAGGCCAAGCCGCCTTCACCAAAGACGCACGGTTGAAAGTAGATGATGTAATTTCATTTCCACGACGCGACTCTCCTAGCCTGTCGGGGAAGAAACTCGGCTCGGTCCAGTTTGTGACGGAGTTTAGGGTCGAGGCTTGGGGCATGCCTTTCTGTGTTCACTGCGGGTGCTTTCGGGTACAACCCTCTAAGCATCTGTTGGCACCCACGTCTATAGGTCTTAAATCCAAAACCCTGAACCCTAAACCCAAGTAGTAGCAATGATTGTCACTTACTTACTGACCGCTTCAATCCTGGAGTAGGCCCTTGCCCTACAGTAAACCCCTAACCGCTAAACCGCTAAACTCGTAAACCAGAGAGATGAAACCAAAGCCCCTCGCGTCCCAAGCCCTGAACATGCAGGTCCAAAGTCAAAAAGCCAAAACTCTAAACCCTGATGCCTTTAATCACGACAGTCATCAAAAGGCCCTTTACAACAACAAAAATCTTATGCCCAAAAAGGCGACACCATAAACCCGAAACCCAACGTTCTAGATCCATTTCCCGACAGCTCCGAACCCCAAAACCCAAACCATCCTCGGGCCCTTTCAACCCAAACCCTAAAACCATCTAAACCTTAAGCCCTAAACCCTAAACCCTAAGCCCTAAACCCTAAACCCTAAACCCTAAACCCTAAACCCTAAACCCTAAACCCTAAACTAAGCGAGGGGCCGAAACCGTCGAACGACAGGCCCCGAGCGC